TCCCCACTGTGGGTGTAATAATGGAATTGTAAAGATTGGAAAAGACCACGGGTCCCAAGCATCAATCCTGCACTGCCAAGGCCAGTGCTAAATCAAGTCCCAGATTTTTTGAGCACTCCCATGGATGATGGCCCCACCACTGCCCTGGGAGCCCGTTCTGATGCTTGAACACCTTCCAGTGAGGAAATTTTCTCTGATATCCAATCCAAACCTCCCTTGGCAGAACTTGGGGCTGTTTCCTCTCATCCTGACCCTGTTCCCTGAGAGCAGAGCCCAACCCTGTCCCATCCTATCAGGGATTTGTGGAGAATGAGAAGTTTCCCCCTGAGCTTCTCCAGGCTGAGCCCCCCAAGCTGCATCCCCTTCCCTGGCCATACTCCAGCCCTTCCACATCCTTCTCGTGGTGAGGAACCCAAACCTTTGCCCCAGAGCAGGGCAATCTGTGAGGGTGGTACCTCTTTGGGCTTTGCAGGGGTAGGTTTCCATCTCCACCTCGTGCAGGGGCAGGGGGGCCGTGGCTGGGGCCACGGGCCGGAACATGTAGCTGTCGTTGGGCAGGGAATGCATCCGGGACACCGAGATCTTCCTCACTGTCAGCAGGTTCTGGGAGTCCTGGGCCCTCAGCGAGGCCGCACTGCCCTGCAGAGCAACAGGAGAGAGAGAGGGGGCATCACCCCTGTGGCCACAGATTTCCCAGGCATGGTCCTGGGAGAAGTCTGTGAGGAGATAAGCATGATTGTATTTTATAAAAAATCCTGTCATTAGGATCTTTCTCCTGAGAAGCTGAGAGGCCTCAGAAATGAAATGTAAACAATAATTATCTGCTGCTGTGCAATGCAACAGGTGCATTTGTGATTGGTCTCATGTGGTTGTTTTTAATTAATGGCCAATCACAGTCAGCTGGTTCGGACTCTCTGGTCAGCCACAAGAATTTATTATCATTCCTTTCTATTCCTTTCAAGCCTTCTGATGAAATCCTTCTTCTATTCTTTTAGTATAGTTTTACTATATCATTTTCTTTTAATATAATATATTTCATCAAGTAATAAATCAGCCTTCTGAAACATGGAGTCAAGATTTTCATCTCTTCCCTTGTCCTGGCTGGACACGTTCCCCTCCCAGTTTCCCCTTTTATCTCAAACACAGTGAATCCCTCTGGTTCTCCCTTCACATCAGCCTCCCAGTGACTGATTGAAAACATTTTCCCAGCTGCACGTCTTAAATTAAATGTATTTTGCTTTGCTCTGCCAGCAAAACCTGTCGCTGAGATCCCTCAGGTTTGGAGCTCACCAAGGATCTGGTTAAATCTGGTTTTTAACTTGTATTTCTGGCTTGGAAATATCTTCCCTCAGCTCCCTGAAGGGGCACACCCCAAGATGAATTACTCCATGCTTTTACCCTGTGGAGCTTGGCTGGGAAAGGGGGCCAGCAGGTATTTGCAGCTTGTTGGCATCCAGCTGTGCCAGCTGTGGCTGTGCCCAGGAGCCAGCAGGGCTCTCAGCTGATGGGTGAAAGCCTCAGCAGCCAGTGCCAGCTGGTCCTTGGCCATCCCAGCTCATCAGCCCCACCTGGGCTGGGGGCAGCCAGGGGCTCCTGCTCACCCTGAGCCACAAGGAGAACAAAAGGTCCCAGCACCTCAACAGGAGCATCTTGGAATTTGGCTCCTAAAGCTCAGCTTGGCTGTGGCTGGAACAAATGAACAGAAAGCCCTTCTTGACATCAGCCACTTCAATTTTTAAAGGTTCAGCTGTTGAGAGCTGACTGAATTAGGGACGTGGGGAAATTTCAAATGAAATAAGGGCTTGAAATATGAACCATGGATGGGAAATTTGTTGGAGAGCTGCTCTGGACTGTGAGGATGGTTTGGAGGCATCACTGCTGCTTCTCCTCCTTGCTGGGAAACACCTGGTGCACTCCAGAGCCTGATCCCATGCCCTGGAAATCAGGATGGGATCTGGGCATAGGGGGGGGAACTGGGAGCAGAGGGGGTTGAAGCCTTTCTGGATTGTTGGGAATTTCCTTAGAGCATTCCCTGAATCCCCAGCTCTGGGGATTGCTGAAAGCCTCCGGTGTTGATCCCTCCCTGCCTCATTTTCCTCAGCATCACAAACAAATTCTTGCAATAACAATAAAATCAAACCTGACACTGTTTTCTCCACAAACAAAAAGCTCTGCCTGCAGCTCTGGGTTTAACACTTGAAGTCACACCAAATACACATTTTAAAGGCTAAAAAGAGGATTTCACTCCTATCCCACACAGGGCTGGCAAGGTTGTGGTTGTGAAGGGACAGGATGGGGACAGCTCAGACACAGCCCCAGAGCACAGCACCACGATGGGTGGGACATCAGCCACCCCAGCCTGGTGGCCTGGGCTTTTGTGGGGTGGTGGCAGGACATGGTGGAAGGATGAAGGGACACTTCACCCCCTCATCACCCCCAGGGTTAAAAGGAGGCTCTGATGTGCTTGGGAAGTGTTGGAGGATGAGGAAAGCCCAAGGAGAATGAAGTGTTTGCACTCCCAGCCTGTGTGAAAGGAGGTGCCCTCTCCTCCCTCAATTAGAAAAGCAACCTGTGCAGTTCCCTGCAGGAATGTTTGTCAGGAGCATTCAAACAGCCAATTCCCCAGCCCTGTGGAACCAAATCTTTCTCCTCGCCCTGATGGAGCCTGATGGATTTCACAAAAATCTAATTTAATGTAATTTAATCTCCAAGCCCCCACTGATTTCGCGGTAGATTTATTTGTGATCGTGGTGACAAAGCAGTTCCATGTTCACTCTTAATCACAGGCTGCTGACATGGGGTGAGACAATTATCTCACACCCTCCCTCCTCCTGCACTTCTGATTGTTTTCCTGGAAGACTGGCAGGGATCAGAGAGCAGGCAGTGTCCCAAAAATCAACCCAGGGACTTCCAAAAATCAACCCAGGGACCTCCAAAAAATCCACTCAGGGACCTCCAAAAATCAACCCAGGAACCTCCAAAAATCAACCCAGGAACCTCCAAAAATCAACCCAGGGACCTCAAAAAAATCCACTCAGGGACCTCCAAAAATCAACCCAGAAACCTCCAAAAATCAACACAAGGACCTCCAAAAATCAACCCAGGAACCTCCAAAATTCAGCCCAGGGACCTGCAGCTCCTTGCTGAGGGGCTCTGATAATTCCCAAGTTCTCCATGTCCTAAGCAGAGCCATGGGGAGCTGCAGCACTGAATTCCTGGGGGATCCTCTGGAAATCCCAAAGTGGGATTAAACAAAACCTGTGAAGGGAATTTATCCCATCCCATGCCGGAGGTGCCAGAGCTCCCAATGCCAACACTCCCAGGATTTTTGGGATTGCTTGTTGGTTTTGCTGCCCTGAGAAATGACAAGGACGGGCTGGGACAGCAGGACAGGGACCTGTGGCTTTTATGGCTCTGAACTTAAAATCTAGAACTTGAGAATGGAGAGATGGACTTTGAACTCTCCTCTGGAATAATGGCCAGGATAATGTTTCTAGCACCTTCCACATCCAGGAGCCCTGGGAGCTGCCTCAGGACATGGGGTGGTGGTGACATCCCTGGGGTAGGGGCTGGGACAGCTCCTTATCTCCCTCTCTGGCTCTGTGTGGGATCTGCTGGTCAGGCTGGTGGGATCCATCCCCTCCCCAGCCCAGCTCTCACCAGGCCTTGGTGCTTCTCCTTGGGCTGCTCCAGGTTCCCGTGCAGCGCCCGGCTCTCCCCGGCCACGGCCCCGCTCCTGCTCCCGCCGGTTCCTCTGGACATCTCCAGCTCGATCTCGGCGTCCATCTCAGCGTCCTCCTTGGCCTCCTTGTTGCTCTCCTCCAGGTGCTTCATCAGCACGGCCACCACCACGTTGACCAGCACGAACTGGGCGATGAGGACGAAGGTGACGAAGTAGACGGGGGAGATGACGGGCAGGTAGCTGAGGCAGTGCTTGTCCTCCCGCGTGCACTCCCGCAGCGTGTCCTGTGCCAGGGGACAGGCAGGGATTAGAGAGCTTTCCAGGGGCACAAACTGATTTATTCAAAATATGGATATTGATCTAGCACCCATATCCAACTGTGAGGGACAAAAACTCTCTAACAGTTTAAAGTTAGAAAGTTTATTGTGATGTGGGTTAGCTCCCAAATACACACCACAATTTACAGGTGATTACAGAGCCCAAGTATTGAATATCCAAAATACAAATGCATATTCATAACTTTGGTACATCCCATTCCCAATATGGATATTGATCTAGTACTGATATCCAACTGTGAGGGACAAAAACTCTCTAACAGTTTAAAGTTAGAAAGTTTATTGCAGCGTGAGGGGTAGCTCCCAAATACACACCACAATTTACAGGGGATTACAGAGCCCTTTAATCTATTTAAGTATTAATTTACAGGTGATTATAAAGTCCTTTTATCTATACAGTTATTGAATACCCGAAATACAAATGCATATTCATAACTTTGGTACATCCCATTCCTCGCTTTGTATAGTAATTACTTCAAAAGCTATTAAGCATGGTAATTAGTTCAAGAGCTATTAAGCATGCACAGTTTGCTCCTTGAAATGGGTTGGTGGTCCCTTTCATGGGGAGGGGTCCCAAAATGAGGAAGTAAATGAAGTCTTCCTCATTCTGACCTTTCTGCCTTTTCAATGCAAATATGACAAATGAACCCTTGGCAGAACTCCCATTCCCCATCTTCAATTGGTTTCAGAACAGAGGAGGCCTCCAATTGTCTTCTGTTCCTAAAAGCTATTTATCAGTTTCTATATTCTTCATTATAAACCCAGCTAACCAAACATTGTGTTGACAAGCAGTCAATTATTAATTAACTACTAATTCTTAACTTCATCAAGGCCTATCTATTTATTTTAATTAACTCAAATAAAGCTTATCTCTAACTAAAATCTTAGCTCCTCTAAAATCTCTAAATTCCTTAAAGTTTATGTCTCAAAACACCAAAAGAACGCAAACAGGGCACAACTGAAACAGGTAAGAGGAAATAAGGGGGTCATGGATTACAGCACCCACAAAGAAGGGAATGGGGTGCCCAGAAGTTTTGGATTTCTTATCTCCTGGAGTTTTCAGGACAGAGCATGGAGCTCTGGGGTAGTGGAAGATGTCCCTGCCCATGGCAGGGGTGGCACTGGATGAGCTTTAAGGTCCCTGCCAACCCAAACCATTCCATGATCCTGTGATTCTATGGCACATCCCAAAGGCACAGCACACAGAGCACAGCATGGTTACTCCTCCCAGTCAAAAACCTGGCATCATTTCCCTTCAATATCACATCCAGGACCAAAGCTTCAGGCTGGGTGAGAATTAGGACAAATCTTGAAAACACACCTGGCTTTTCTATTAGGAAGTCTCATTTTGATATTTGAAGAGGAAACATTTTTGTTTGCACCCAAGAGTTGCCTAAATCCGTTTGAAAACTGTACCCACAGCCCTCCAGAGAGGAGGAAGCCCCCAGAGACTGCACACACCTTCATGATGCCGTTCCAGTTGTCCCCCGTGGACACCCTGAAGAGGGTGAGGAAGGCCATGCCGAAGTTGGTGAAGGTGGCGTGGCGGCTCAGGCCCTCACAGGGATTCTCCTCGCTGCAATCTGTGGGGCAGGGAAGGAGCAGCACATCAGCCAAGCCATGCTGGAGAACCCACAGCAGCCCCCAGAGCCACGTCCCACGGGTTTATGGCACCAGGGGGTGGTGACATCCTGCTCAGGTGGAACAGGGGGCACAGGGGGAAAGGTGTTTTCAGCTGGAGAACCTTGGGACAGGACAGCAGGAGCTGTGGGAAATGGTGGTGGTGGAATCCTCATCCCTGGAAACATTCAAGGCCACTGATTTATTAAAAATATGGATATTGATCTAGTATGGATATCCAACTGTGAGGGACAAAAATTCTCTAACGGTTTAAAGTTAGATATTATTGCGATGTGGGATAGCTCCCAAATACACACCCCAATTTACAGGTGATTTCAGAATCCTTTTATCTATTTGAGTTGGACAGGGTTTGGAGCAAGCTGGGCTAGTGGAAGGCATCCCTGCCCATGGCAAGGGGTGGCACTGGATGGGCTTTAAAGTCCTTCTCAACCCAAACCATTCCTTCTGATTTCTGTGATTTTCTTTGCTCCTGCTCCACAGCCTCCTTTGTCTGTTTTCCTGTTGATTGCGCCCTTGCCTTGATGATTTTTTACATCCACCACGAGGGATATTTTCACTGAGATAAAGTGGAGCAATTTGACATTTTCCCCCTGAGAATTAATAGCCTAATGAATGCAAATTGAACATATGAAATATCCATCTTCCCATAAAACACAGCCTCGTTAAATATCCATTAGGACAGGCAGCAATGGCTCTTGGTTGGGCATTTCAGTCTTAGGTAATTATTCTGAGGTAAATTGGAAGGAAGAACAAAAAAAATTCCAAGAAAAACCCACAAATGACCAGTCCTGAGGGAAAGAGGGCTGATGGTTCTTGTGGCTGGCATGGACTGATCAGGAAAAAGGAAGGAATATTCCCATTAAATTGGGCTGGGAAGCAGAGTCCTGCCCCAGTGGGGTTCCCTGGGCTGGCACTGCCCAGGTGTGGGTGGAAACACCAGAAGAACAATTTTTCACCCCTGTGACTGAACAAACACACCCATAACTCCAGGGGTGGAATATAAACCCTCACTGTCTCACTCAGGGTGGGTGCAGAACTCTTTCCTTCCCCGGAATTTGTGAGAGACTGAAAAATAATTTGGTTTTGGTTGAAAGAATTATTCTGCTCTCAGGCACTTGTAATCTGAGCAGAGGGCTGGGCTCATAAAGGGGATTAATGACAGCCATAAACTCTGCTCAGGAAGGGCCTTCTGGTGCTCCTGGAGCTCTAATTGGGATGGAAATGTTGAGGATGCAGACACAGCTCCCTCCAACAGCATTTTCCAGGCTGCGCAAGGCTGGGGTTTGCTCTGATTTTAGTGATGGGCACATTCCCGAGCAGCTGCTGTCTCCTCAGACTGGAGGATTGATTAATGCTGGACAAGCAGGAAGCCCTGGGTGCCTCCTGGTTGATGGAGAGAGGGGAAGGTGATGCTGAGGAGCCCTGGGAGCTGCAGGGGCAGTGGCAGCAGCGCAGAGAACTGATGGGCTGTGGGGAAGCTGTGAGCAGGGACATGTTTATGGTGGCATCTCTCCAGCAGGAACCTGACCCCCATCCAGCTCTGCAGGCTCGTGTTCTGTCTCCAGTAGCAAACTTGAACAAATCCATGCTGGGGCAATGATATTTAAAAAGCAAAGAGTTCCTCTCAGCCAAGGCTGGTGTTGGCCAGAGCCCTGAATGTGTGTGTGTGTGTGTCAGAAAGGTTCTGTGTTACATCCTCGTGTGTCAGCTGTGACCCTGAGATCAAGAGAAAACTTCCATCTTCCAGAACATGAGTGTGAAGCTAAGGAAGGCCCAGGAATGAGAGGGAGAGGGAGAAAAGGAAGCAGGCAGATAGCAAATAAACACCAACCGGATGGAGCCAGCGGCCTGGGGCCCATTACTCACCCAGCTTGCCAAACAATTCCACTCCCAGGGCAGCATAGATAAAAAACAGGAGCATAAAAAGTAGGCCAAGGTTCCCTACCTACACAAGGAGAAAGCAGAACAAGGGTCAGGCAAGTCGAGGTCATGAATGAAATCACTCCATCACATTTTCAACACAAGCACAGCAGGGATGGGGGTCCAGAGGAAAATCAGATTTCCCCTGGGACCAGCAGCCTGGTCCCTCTCTGAGTTCTGCTTTAGGGGGCCCAGGGAGGTCTTTGTGTGGGGAAAGGAGCAGAAATGCCCTTGGGGGAAGCAGCAGCTTCTCCATCACCCTGCTCTCTGGAGTTTGGCCACCCCAGGGCAGTTTGTGGGGCAGGGCTGCTTTGGGACCTGGGCTCTGCGTTGGGTTTGGGGCCTTTCCCTTTCCCTTTCCCTTTCCCTTTCCCTTTCCCTTTCCCTTTCCCTTTCCCTTTCCCAGGACTCAGACAGCAGCAAGCCAGGAGAGGAGCTGTTCCCAAAGGTTTTACTGGCATGGAGGGCTTGCAGTGCTCCAGGGAGAGGAGAACTCCCCGAGCCTTTTCCTTTGCAGGCCCTTCTCAACCAGAGCTTCCCAGATTTGAGCTTTCTGTGTCCCACAGGAAGATCCTGATCCCAAACACCAGCCCTGGCAGCTCCAGGTGCTGCTGGAGGTGTTCCAAGCCCCCAGGGTGGCTGAAGGGGGTGACAAGTGACGTGAAAACAGCACAGAAGTTCTTCACACCACCAGCATCACAGCCCTCCGTGCTGGATCTCATCCCAGCACAGAATCCCAGCCTCAAAAACCTCTCCTGGAGCAGATTTTTGGTGATTCAGGCAGAGAACACGAAGGGCAGAGTGACCTGACCTGCTCCCACCTGCTCCCATTTATCTCTGCTGCCACTTTAATCTCCCTGTGAGCAGCTCCTAACTGAGACAAAGTGAGTTCTCTGCACCACCCGCAGGATTTTATCCCTAAAAACAAGGAGCTGGGAGGTGATCCAGGCAGCCAGGCCCAGGGATTCCTGATCTCTGAGGCGCATTTTAGTGAACTCTGACTTTGGGAGAGTTTTCTTCTCTGAGGTGGCACAGCCACAGATCTTTTGGTTATTTGTACTGTGCTAAATTTAATCAGAAAGTTTATCAGTGTGATATCTGTCATTATAAAATTAACACAGCTCTTGCTGATGAAAGTGGGGATTTTTTATATTAAAGAAATGGGAATAGTCCAATCACCCAGTGCAGGCTGCAATTGCTATAAAGCCTAAACTGGCTCTGCAATTTCCCTAACATTATTACAATCCTCCAGGGAATAATAAAGATAAAACAGGGATGTAGATGGCTGGGCTGGGTTATTTCATCTGCCTCTGCTGCCTTCTGGAACAGCTTTTGCTGCTCCTGTCTGCTGGACCACTGATGCTTTGGGAGCCATTAGAAACGAGCAGGCACAAGCACAAGCACCCCACACACACTGCTGGGGAGGCAAATGAGCAAATAATTACAGGGAATTAAAATAAAAGGGATAAACAAACTTTCGAGGTTGAGGCAACACAAGAGGGTGTTGGGTTTTGCTCTAAGCAAGCCTGAGTGTTCCGATGCCTGAAAAATCAGCCTGGAAACTTATGGCATTGATGAAATCCCAAAGAATTTGGGGTAATGCGGGAGTTATTAGCAGGTTATGTGTAAAAGGCGTTATCTGGATTTCAACAAGGAGGAGAGGGAAGAGGGAACGGGAGGGGAGAGAAGGAGAAGGAGGAGGAGGAGGAAGAGGAAGAGGAAGAGGAGGAGGAAGAGGAAGAGGAAGAGGAAGAGGAGGAGAAGAGGAAAAAGGAAAGGAAAAGGGAGAGGGAAAGGGAAAGGAAA